CTCGCCAAAGAGCGGGCTGTGGTCATGGAAGCCAGAGCCTTTTTGATGACACCAGCACTGCAGTCTTTGGTTGCCTACATGAATCCTCCTCACCCTTCTCAGCCCGTAGCCCAAGACTGGGAGGATCGACGAGAACACCATCTGTGCCCCCAGACTCTTTAGCCTCGCTCCCAAATCCCTGTAGCGCCTCATGACCCGGCTGGGAGTGCTCTGAGCCATGTCATTGGTGCCCACATGAATAAGGAGCATGGTATAGTGGTCTGTGGGCTGGAGGAGTTTAGGGATCTTCTCTTCAATGTCCCAGATGCGGGCCTCCGGGAAGCAGCAGACTTCCCAGGCTAAGGGGTCGGGGCAGCAGATTGCCCCCTCAGTCTTCCTCAGGATGGAGTCTCCCACAACAGACACCTTACGTTTTGTCTTGGGGAGAGCGCAGGCAGTAGCTGCAGTTGAGCCTGTGTTGCCTGTGGGAGCTTGGCAACTTAGCAGGCTTTGCTGGAGCAGCAAGAGGTGTGGCCCAGCCCAGCCCAGCCTTTGCACATCTGCCCTCGGCAGCACCCATGGGCCAGCCCAGCTCAACCCCATAGCCACAGCTTAGCTCCAGCCTCAGCCGCCCAGCCTCAGCCCTGGGCAGGTGGCGGGGCCATGCCGGCCGGCTCTGGCCAGGCCACCTGACACACAAGCAGGGGGAAAAGCCAGGCAGACCTCAGCTAGAGTCCCCATGCCCATGCCCAAGAGGGGAGATGAGTGTTTAATGCCCCTCCCTGCCCTGCTTTGCCTAAGCTGCTGCCTGAGCTGGTGTCTGGCCACGTTCCCCCCCACATCTCCCCCCAGGGACACGCCTGACAAAGGCTGCTTCCCCCCATTCAAGTACATCCTGGCTGGGGTCCCTGTAGGCCAAGGTGGGGATTTAAACCCCTCCCCAGTCATACTTAGCATCCTGCTGGGGGGCCTGGCCATGTCCTCCAGGTCAGCTTCCCTCCAGCCTTGTGGCTGCTGCCAAAGGGAAGGGAGGGCTTGTTCTAGCGTCCCTAGCTTTTAGCCAGAGTCACTGCAGGGAGTGGCTGCATTTCTGGAATCAAAAGTGAATGTCTGTTCACTTGCAAATCAGTTCAGTCTACACAGATAGAATAACCTGCAATGATTTAATTAATTCAGGTGTGGGCTTTTTGATTGCATGTCCCTAGCCAAGATTATAATCTGAGGACCAGATACTATGTACCATAAAGAAAACTGTCAGTATCTTTTTGCAGTTCCATCAAGATCAGTTAAATGCATTGCAAAGCAAGGTACTTCTCCAGGAGGAAGATTCTTGTCCAGATCTAGCATGATGGTCCTCAACTCCCACTTGAACTGTTTTGGAAGTTAGACCTTAACTAGTAAATAGAGAAAAATAGGAACAAAATATCGCTTGAAAACATTTCAGAACTAGATGGGTTTTGGAACTTAGTTGGGAGTCTGATCTTTAGCATCAGTAGCCCAAGAAAATTGATACTAACAGAACTGTATTGAGGTATATTTCTCCAGAAAGCACTAATGAAAAATCCAAACTCAACGTAGGTTCAGTGTAGATGAATAGATCCAACTGTTATCATTTAGGAAATCCATCTAATAAATGATGCAACGGCAAAGCAGAAATGGTTACCTTGTAATTCATTATCTATGAAGATGTTAGCTTTAGCTAACGTGGGCAAAAGGATTTCCATGACCAAGTTGGAGATTAAGTACTGGGAATGTCTGGTTCAATCATGCACATTGTGTAAGGAAAGTCCTGCTCCTTTACGACCGTGTAGTCTCGACTACAAAAGAAAAAAGCTCTACATAATCACATTCATGCTTAAAGTAAAAAAGTATATGGCCTTTGGAGTATAGTTTCCCTAGAAAGCAAGCTGGGAACACCCTTTCCCATATGTTCTCTTTAAAACTCTTGCTCTACCTGGCTCTGCTGTAGTTTATATTATCTCGTTTGAGGGTAGAGACTTGTGTGCATTCTCCCCGACGATGTCTTGTCAGGAGATTCCAGAGCACCAGCAGTGATATCTAGAATTAGGTGAGATGGATAGCCAAGGTGTCAAACCAGAATCTGTCATTTATATAGTTCTTTCTGCTGCTTTCAGTCCTTTTCGCGGTCTCCTACCTTCATTCCATCATTGTTGGCTTAACCAATGAAGCTTTTGTCATGCTAGAAGTGGGTGAGGGTTTTGGATGCTCTGGTTTGGCTCTATGTATTTGGTCATGAGTAATATAATGATAATAATCCTCTTACAGAAATCATCTTGTCTCCTTCTGCAGCAGACATGGGAGAAAAGTTTGTTAGCATGCTTACTGAACTGCTGTTTGAATTGCATGTAGCTGCTACTCCTGACAAACTTAATAAGGTTGGTACAAGTTACACAGCCTTCATCCACTTCCCGGAGGAATACAAAATGTGGATCTATTGATCTTAAGGGTGATTGGCCTGTTGGGTTCAGCAATGAGATTCAGTTCAGAACATAGTTCAGTACTGATCTTGTTTGTTTGTCCAAAAAAGTGTTAAAACTACAATGTTTGAACTGGAAACAAAGTGTTTTTCACATCTAATTAGACTTAGCATTGAAAAAGAAATAATGCACTCCACACTAGCTAACTGGGAAACCATTGAAGTGAGTGGCATTAGTGCTTCAAGCTGTGTCTACTCTGACCTTCCTGAAACAAAGCAACTCAAGGTCCAGTTATTTTCTGTCCATTTATCTCAGAATTTAGACTTTTGTTTTATTTTTTCTTTCCTATATACTGTTCAGTTTTACTTTTTCCCTTAAGGCCTAGTTATCTTTCTCTCTCTCATGTTACTTTATACCTTTGAAACAGACTGCACATGGTTGAGGTTTCAATGACCCCAGTGTTAACAACAGCTTTACTTGCAGAGTAGAGACAGATAGTACAATACAATATTGTAGATAGGTAGTCAGCCTTTCTACAGAAAGAGAGATTTCTCCCTATATAAACATGATTTTTTAAAAATATAGACATTTAAACGCTATCCACATGCCTGAGATAGATAAAACTTTTGAGTGGAACAATAAAGCTAAGTGAAAATGTATTGTTAATGTGTCTCAGCAGTATCATCTGATCAGCCATACATGCACTGTATTGTGTTTTTATGGGGCTTATTTGGTAGGCTAGGAAAAAAGCTCACGAGTGGCTGGAAGAAGCCAACTTCTCAAGATCGCCAGCTCTGGAAAAGAAGCTAGAGAAAAACACTGAAAAAAATGGTGAGGAAAAGACTGAAGAAGGAGAAGATGGTGCAGATCAACAAGGAGAAGTAAAGAAAAACAAAACTGTGGAGGTAAAATAGCACTTGAAGCAGATATCTCATTAACAGTATCATAACCTTTTTGAATAGCTTGTTTAACTAGCCAATATTGCTATCTTATTCCCATCTGTTGTGTTGTACCATTGTGGTTTCTAATACCTTCAGGTGTTTAAATTAGTAATGGTCAGGAAGTAACTTTAAAAAGATGGTAATTGACAACTACTAACTATGGCACTAGCCCTGCAAACCTTACTTGTATGAGTATTTTTACTATCAGACTGTTCCTATTAATGAACATCAACAATATCATCCCCTCTGACTACTAACTTGTTTCAGCTTTTCTTTAAAAATTAACAGATTCAGGTGTACCTTTTATACAAAAGGGTCAATTAATCAAAGTCTTAGATATTCTGTCTGTAATTCTGTCCCATATTTAAAGTCTTCACTCAACTTTCTCTTTCTCTAGATACCAATAAATAAAAAACTGTAATCAACTTATATTTAAATCATAGATATCTAAAATCACAGATGAGCAAAACAGAATTTGTTTAGTGAAATCAAAAGTATTAAGTCCCTCCCTGAAAAGCCTTGCCCAAGGCCAAATATATTATATGTTTTGAGACAACTGCCTTCTCTTAAAGTAGTAGTTGTGATTGAAATTCTTCATTCAAGTTACAACAGCATGAAATGTTGGGAATTTTTTATGACCTATATTAAAGAATCTATTGTGCTTTCTTTAAAAGAGTTCAAAAGCTGTTAAATGTAGGAAATTGATTGGTGTTGTGTCTGTTGTCGATTATGATGTCAATGATGCTGCCAAATTATCAAGAGAGATTGAAAGGAGTTTTGGATATAGTCACTTTGTTTCTGTCTAAAAAGTTCTTTACCAAGAGCATAGTTATTTTTTTTTACCATACAAATATACTTTGGAAATGGCCTGACCCTCTCAACTCCCAGTGAAATCAGTATAAATTCCATGAGAGTTCAGGACTCTTATTAGGACCCAGATCCAACAATCTTATAATAGAAATTCCTGGGGCTTAACCCTGCAGTTTTGCCTTTTGTATTTCTCTGAAGTGAGTGTTGGGTCCTTGCTTCACCCTTAATTGATGCCTCTTCTTCTACAGTTTTTTTTTTTGAGCAAGTATAACAGCTCATATTCCTTAACTTTGCATGTAATGATATTGTTCAATTATTTTGGTCTGTACTTAGTTTCAAAGTCTCTTGTATAATCTATAGAAGTTAGAATATTACTGCTTTTTTTATTACATTTAAGGACATCTACATGCTGTCTATTGAAAGCCTTGCTGAAGTAACAGCCCGTTGTATCGAACAGCTTCATAAAGTAGCAGAATTAATTCTCCATGGGCAAGAAGAGGAAAAGCCAGCCGAGGATCAAGCAAAAGTTCTGACAAAGTGTGTACATTTTTATTTCTTTTTGTCATTAGGAGGAGAATATTTGCTTAAAACTCTTAATATCCTATTGAGCCCACAGTGTTTGTAGATACTGTAACACTATGGATCAACAAACAGGCTTGCTTCTGAGGCTTCTGCCAGTATATTGTCAAAAGTAATTACAGGGCTGCTTGTGATTCTCTGATTTGCACGTTATGTATAATTTTTACAAATGCACAAAGTGAAAATTGTTGTCATCATAACTGGTAGATGTGATTACTCGTTCAGAGTGGACACTTTATCAGCAGTTCTAAAGATAGTAAACCAGAATGCATAGGATTTGCTTTTGCAGTTCATAATAGAGTTTGTGCTGTGTGAAAAAATGCACAAAAATCTATGCAATTATAAACATTGCAAATCTGTTCCTATGCAATTATAGCTCACGCCCTACTGCTTTTAGGAAGAATGCTCACTATATTCATTCTAGGTGGAGGTGAGGAGGTTGTAATTTATTTCCAGTGGTATTTTCAGTGTATAACTTAAGTAAAACAATAATTAAACTAAAAGTCTAGGATATTTTGCAAAAAACCAAAAACCTGCCATGTAGAAACAGAGCTGTGTTTGGCCTAGTGCTTTTTCTGGCTGTGGCCACCACTGGACTTATAAAGCCTCTGTCATGCTCGTAAGCACCAATTGACCAAAATCCACCAATTATACTTTAGGACAAAATTAATTTAATTAGAAATTAGATTGTCTGAAGAATATTTTTTAACTTCTGAGACACATGAGGGATCTGACTATCCTGGGTAAAGGACCTTAAGTATATTTTTAACATTTGTCTCTCTTGTTTTAAACTAGTTTAACAAGTGCCATGTGCAATGAAGTGTCATCTTTAGCTAAGAAGTTTTCTGATTCCTTAATGGCAGTTGGGGTAAGATAACAGCATTTCCTAATATAATTTTTATAACTCAGTCTTGAGGGACATATAGCATAGACCAACTTTCTGTAAGAAACTAGCGTAGGAGTAGGGAGAGCCTGAGTCCTCTCCTATCCTGCTGCAGAACATACAGAGAATTTTTTCAACAGAATCCCAGTGGTTGCTTGATCATGTGAGCTGAAGTAGCCTCTGCAATGCATGTCTCCTATCTTCCTTAATCTGTCAGTGACCACTGCATCTACATAGTTCTGTGGTTCTCAACCGTCTTAGACTCAAGGCACCCGTTAGAAAATGCCAGTTCTTAGCTTTCATTCTTTTTTACTACAGAAAAATAATAGAGCAATTCTTCTGTTGCAAGAAACTCAGAAAGCCCACAATATGTCAGAATGTTTTTAACCCTATGAATTCATATTTGAAATCTCTGGGTTTATCTTGTGAATCATGTTTGCACACCTAACAGTGCTAAATTGCCTGGCACCCTTCAGCACCCATGAAAGGACCTCAAGGCACCCCGGGGTGCCACAACACCCTGGAGAATCACTGACATAGTTTCTAAAAGACTTAGGAACTATTCTGCCAGTTACTGAGTCTACTCACAACACTCCAAGCATTCAAATAAGAGTCCTCCAGTATTTTAGGATATCTACTCAGCCCATTTCTTTATGTGCAGCTGTACTTTAAACGCTCCCCCCAGAATATTGCCAGTGATAATCTGTTTGGTGTCTTAACAGTGTGATTCACGTCATAAATTGCCATTTAGTCTTTCATACATCTGATAGGTCAGGGTGATTATATTTGCAATGTATAGGTTTGAGGAACTAGAAAATCTATCCATTTGGTTTTTCATTTGAATAAAATTATTCTCATTACAATCAAAATGCCCTACTTGGCAATCAAGCTCCTAGACAGCACTCTTATTGGAAATGGTTATCCTTTTTTACCCTGAAAAATATAATGAGGACACTGATAGTATAATAATTTGTGTGACTTGAATTCAGGAGTAGCAAAGATCTTTATGAGAGCCAGTGAAGGAGAAGCAACAACCTCCCCTACAAAATATTTTGGAATGTACCAGACAACTGAGTAATCTGGCATAGCCCAAAGATAAAAATAAGCTGCTTTTCAGAAATAGTTTTTTGAACTTCAGAGATAAACCCTCTCTTTTCCCAGTGAGAAAGTGAACTTGTATAAAAAGTAGGAAAGTGTGCCCAGTCTTCGTTTCACTTTTGTGTAGGAATTATAAATAAGAGCCCCCTGAGAGCTCCTTCAGTGTATCACTGGACATTTTTTCTGAGTTATTTAAAAAGAACATAATTTGTTGGCTTGCTTTGATTTTGAACAATTTACATTGCTACATGCCATGCAAATTGAATCTTCTTGCTTTGGCTGTTTCTAAGCTTATTTTCACATTTCTTGTGCAGCATTTTCAGTAAATATGTGCATAAAAAATAAACATGAAGTATGAAGCAGACTTAACCCAGGAAATGCAGAACAAAAGATCTTGCAACAACTTTTATTTTTGCCTGCTGGTACACATGAACTTTATGTAGTATAGTCCCAGAGTTTAGGGCCACAGTGTGTCTGGAACTTGTGCAGGTGCCTAAAAGGTTGAGTCTCCCTACACCTTGTAGGAAGCATACTGCATTGAACAATCCCAGTGCCTGTGAACACAAACACTATCTTCAGGGATAAGGGGAGGGGAGGATGCTGATCTTCGGCCCACCACCAGCAGCAGGGAAAAAAGGAAGCATCATCTAGCAGAACCATGCAAACTGTGCACCCTCCTCCAAGCAAAGAGACATTAGAGTCCAGTCTTTCCTTGAACTCTCCCCTGGGGGCAGTGCAGCTTTATATTACTCTCATGATGGGTCTGTGCTCCATAAACACAGTCCAGCCCGTACCACATGTTCAGCAATACAGACTACTAACTACATGCATCTTGTACAATAATGTAGAGTGCAGACTGGACAGACCAGTTTTCCATGCTTTTGGCAAGCTCACATTGTCCAGTGGACTGAGGTTGGACTGAGACAAAAGATAATTTGGCGAATTGTGATCAGCCACTGAGGGAGTGGTTTAGAATGAAAGAGCTCTTTCAACATAATAGCATCACTGTTAAGGTACTTATTTCAGGTGCCTACTCATTATATTGAAATTTTGGCCTTGCTCCTAAATATCAGCAGTTATTCAGAAATTGGAAAGAAAAATGTTACTGTGCTCACTTCCTTTAAAATGCATACTTACCATTGATTGTTACAATCAAGGGTATTTCATTGGCAAGTTAATTTATAATCAGCTAATGGGAATATGGATTTTCTAGTTCCTGACCCAACATTTCTGTTCTGTTTTTTTTCCTCTTTCTACCTTTCTTCTATTGCTTCCTATTTTTTTAAAAGGGATATAAGAAGTGTTCTTCCTATTTTAAGAGTCTCATAAAGTGAAAAAATATGTGCTGGTTCTTTAAGTCAGTAATAAGAAAGCAGGCAGAAGGGAAGCTGGGGAAGCTTCCAAGTGAAGTTCTCCAATACAATGAATAAGTACTGTTTCTAATAAAGCTCCTTGTTCAACGTTAGAAGAAAGCAGTGCTTTCTGTGGGCTGTTACTTTGTTAAGTGACAAGGCAACATGTAGTGAAAAGAGTAGAACCACTGCTGCCATTAAAAAAAAATCTATTCACCAGGATCTTCTCAGAATTCATAAAGCCAGTGCTCAAAACTGACTTAGTACTAAAGAAATATATTACTGATAAGTATGTTTAACTCTAGTATTAAATCGCATCTGTATTTTCCTTTCACAGAGCAGTAAAAAAGCAGAGATCCTTAATCCAATGGTCAATAGTGTGCTATTAGAGGTAAGCCTTGGGCTACTTCACATTAAGAAATATTTTGATAAAGTCACTTTGAATGAAGTAAACACATATTTGTCTGTATTAAAAGCATAAAAATGCACTGGCCATATCCTTATAGCCTTGTGTCATATATACAGGTTTCCCCCGCCAACCACAGGGGTTAGGTTCCTAAAAGTTTCCGTGGTTGCCAAACTGCCAGGGCTCGGGGAGCAGGGGCTGTGGGTGAGGGGCACCAACAAAGCTGTGAGGGCTGTGGGGATGGAGTGAGAGGCACGAGCAGAGCCAGGGGAGCCGTGGGGAGTATTTTTCAACTGTACCTCCCCACCTTCTCTGAAGCATGGATACTCAAAACCGTGGTTGGCAAAACCGTGGCTGGCAAGGAAAACTTGTATAAACAACTCTATTCTGTCTTTGCCAAACACTATGACAAAGCTGCAATGCTACATTTTCAAAGGACTCCTAGGAGCAGTCTGACAGAAGTGACATGCTTCTTGTTGTCTGTTATAATGTATTGACAGGAGCTGGG